ACACACACACACATATATATATATATATATATATATACACACACACACACATACATATGTTTACTGGCATTTCATTGCATTTCTGAAGACTGAAATGGCATTAAATAGAAATTGTGTGTAAACTTGATTTATATGTACTTAGAAACTTAAAAGCTGCAGTTAAATGATCCCCAGTGTTCAAATAACTGTATTTTATTTTTCTGACTATATTATGAATTTTGTTACCATTATTTTATTAATGTTTTATTTAAGCTATTGGTTTTTTTGACATTAAAGTTTTCATTTATTATACTAAATTTTTTTATCATGTAAGACCAAATCCAGTAGTGCATTCTACAATGCTTTTTCTCTCACAATGCTGCTAAAGAAATGGCTATCATTTTGAGTTTCAAACATGCCAAAGATGACATAGAATTTATATTTATTTTTGTTCTTGTTAAAACTCTGTGAGCAACAATTATCAAGATATGTTAAATTATTGACATTCTCTGGGTACTAAATAAAAAGGCTGCAACTTTCTAACATTTTTACAGTTGACCTTGCTTGATCATTTTTTGGTTATAAAATTTTGTGTCTACTTTTATTAAACACATACAGCTAATTTCAGAATTCATTGGAAATAGTGTACCTTGTTCAAGGGCCAGGTGTAACAAGTGTTTCAGGATACTGCTTTTTTATGCACATATTTTGACATGTCCTAAACTGTAGCATTATTCCCACTTGAAGATTACTTTTCTAATGTTCTCATAAGGCAAGGAAATTCAATATACTGAACATTAAAACTTACAATATTTTTAGGACTTATCAGGAAAATGGACTTGTTTGCAAGTTAGATAAGGAGATAACCTTTTCTACATTAAAGAAAAATTAACATTTTAGTCTCTAAAGATTGGCAAAAATTTTTAAAGCTCAGAATCAAGTAGAATAACAGAAATTTATCCAAAAAAGGAGTCACACATATGTATGCCAAGTTAATTTATAACAGCTGTACATAAACACAGAAACTGTATTTCATATGTGGGTCAAAAACGCATTTGGAGTCTGGTGATCAAAAGCTACATGTTCCTCTTCTGTTTCTCTCAATTAACTTCTTAAAGGTAAACAAAACTGAAATTAGGCCAACTTTGGTAAGTGTGCAAAAATTGCTTTCCCATTGGCTACCTCTTTTTAATCTCTTTTCTGCTTTTGCTTTCATGTTTCCCAGTCTCCGAATCCCTTAGTAAAATATCTGATCATCATTTATACATAATACTTTAAGAAACTTGTTCTTAAAAATGTATTAACTATATTCTGCAGTTTATTTTAAGCATTAGCTTAAATAGGTAATGCTTTTTTTTTTTTTTTTTTTTTTTGTGATCAGTGAGACCCTTAAATATTTTGGGCTTACCAGACTAAACATTTTATACTTTTCTTAGGTTAACTTTAAGGGTAGGGTGAGAGATAGAAGTATCAGACCACAATTTGCTTTTCCCATGATTCTCCACATGTCCCCTTGAACAAACAGATTAACTGAAAATGCTGAGGATATATTTCTGAAGATGGAGTTTACATTCTTTTACTATTGGCTTCTTTTAGAACCTAGAACCTACTCTACCCAAACACAAAGCAACATATTTTTAGATTTGTTATTTCCTCATCCCTCTACCCTGCCTCCATGCCTAACCATAGGCTAGAACCCAGGTTTTGACTTTTTCTCTCCTTTTGCTTCAAGACTCTCAGATACATTTGGTATATTTTCTGAATGTAGGTACAGTGTTCTACACTTTTTGTTTGTTTTAAAGAAAGCATTGTAAAATAAGCCACCATATTTGACATCTCTGTTCAGTTTCTGACACAGATATTTTGTTAATAGATGTATTTTTTTTTACTGAACATATGCGTATACTGTTTCTGTGCCAGAGGCTTATTGATTTTCTCTTTCTAAAAGAAATTTAAAGTTGTTTATGGTAACATCCATATATACAATAAGGATGCTAAAGTGAAAGATACAATCATGAATATTAGGGGGAAAAAGTATGCCAAGAGCCAGGGATAATAAGGACTTTACTTGAACATTAATTTTAGCTCTGAGCTTCCTGACAGGAAAGGCAAGAAGATAAATTTAGCAGGTTACATAATTATGTGAGAGGAAGGATGCTAATTCATCAACAGGTACTTTTTACTGATACGCAGATTTTTAAAGCATTTAACATAGAAGAACCTTACACAAGGGGCATGGAACTGGATAATGTCATTAACCATGACTTTGCAGCAAATCCATTAGGACATTTTTTGGTTGCAAGCGCTAGTACCTAGCTCAAACTGGTTT